TCTCTTTTTTACAGATAAATACCAGCATACGATAATGATGAACTTTAGTGGGCGGGGGATAGAGAGGGAACGCACTCTGACCCGTTTGGTGGACTTTCGGCGTGTCCTACAAGGTGCACTAACGCCTCTCCGGGGTGTGAATGACCAGTTCTGAAGAATCGCACCTTGTGCGCATGCTTGTTTTACTGTAGAAAATCGAACTCTGTGTCAATGAACGTTTGTTGTTTGTGTCAAACCAACGATGATCTAATTAAACTTTTCCCATCAAGCTTTAACCACGGACCCGTAGTAGTCTTTTAGCCACGACACACAAAATTTAGTCATGTCACAGTAGGCGAGTTAGATCAAAAAGTATGGGAATTTTTTGAAGTCAACAGATGTCGAAAAAAATATTTTCTACAAATGTTGATGTTGCAAAGCCTAGTTGGGATATAAGGTGTGTGTGTGGTTGGTCATCAATTTCGCGTGATCTAAATCAGCTGCCTACGCACTTTAAATAGATCGGAATGTAATGAGGACAATTACATAATTACGTGGGTAAAATGGAAAGAAGTGGGTTGTTGAGTTATCAACAAAGTCATTTAGAGATGAGTGAATGGGGTGGGGCTGCAATGAATAAAATGATTTAGAAAAAGAGGATGCTAGCTGTGGTGATTGCTAATGAACTATGAACTCTTTTGTGTTAGTAAACACGATATCCTGGTACATTCCGATTTCCCGCTTCCGTTACATTTCGATTGTGTTGTTGAGTTCTATGTTCTGATTTCATTCCTAGTCCTATCTCTGGATTGGACTATACGCGCGGATTTCAATACGAATACGAATTACTAGTCCGAGTGTTCATTACTACACTAGCACAGAAACAGTTAGACAAAGGAGAACGATAACCGTGCAGTTGAGTTGGGGACGTGCTAGCAATTGAAAAAAATTAAACAAAATGTTACACATGACATATGTTGTCTTGCTGTCTAAATAGATAAAACCAGAAATGAATTAGAACGGATATAGAAAGGTAACAAAATAGAAAATCGGTCAACACAGTTACGTAAAATGGAAATAAAAAGGTCGAAGTGTGAACGTCGAGGTAAGGGAACGGCAGAGATGAGGCGAAGGGAACAGGGAGGAATAAACCCAACGATTACCATAGCAATAGCAACTGCATCACGAAGGCCTTTTTGCACGCATTCTTCTTAGCTCCATGTTACTTAACTCGTTTGACCCATTTAATTGACCCATTTTCTATTCCGTTACTTTCATACATCCGTTCTCATATCCCTTTGGTATTACGCAACCAATTTTGACTCTCTTCTCTCCGTGGTAAATCGTTTTCTAAGAGGTAAATATCTTCTGAATCTTCTCAATCATATTGTGTTACCCTATTTATGGTTAGTGAAAACGGAAACATGAAGCATACTGAAAGGCACTTGGCTCAGAGTATATTTAGGAAAGACAGAGTTAGTGACTCTCTGCTAACAATGCAAAATGTTGAAGAAGAAGCTTTCCATGTAATCGGCACCTTTGAGGTAAAACAGCCACAGGCAAAAGAATCTGATGTCATTGATGAAAATGGTGATAAGGTTTGCATGAATAACTCACCTCTTTCAGCCACTGGACTACGGAAGACATAAACTGCATTAACCGAAACGAACGTGGTGTGTTTAGGCGCACCTCGTCAAGCAGTTTATCTACTGTTTGATGAATGAACTGTCGCATCAGTCCATGATGTAATCGCAAATCGGCCTCCGCCCGGGACCATGCGTCGATCGGAATCCAACAACTACTCGCATTGATGAAGCATCGCGAGTGTGCACCATCCATGGGAACACTGTCAATGGGTGGCACGTGATCATTTTCGCCAACGGATAATGTGACCAAGATGTAGTTGGAGGCTTTTCTAGAAAAAAAAATGAAGCGATCGATCATATACTGACCTATGGATTGGGGTGGTAAAATTATTGAAACTAACTGTAATTACGGCTGTCTAAATTCAAGTTCAAACCGCCGAGTAACTAATCGATAATCAAAAATGAACATTGAAAAGCTATGACTTTCTTTATAGCATGGAACTTGATCAGTATCCAGTCTAGAAAAATATCAAATTTATTCAAGTGCTCAATATTGAATATAGGTCACCTAATCGCTACAATTTATTTCTCTGATTGGCTTCTTCCAATTCTGCCATACCCAGAAAGAATTCATTTTTGGTTAGTCCCACTCACAACAGTAGTGTCATAGAAAGGTGGATAACCTAGAACCAATAACAACTTCAAATAAATATTCCCTTTACACAGTGATAAAAACCGTTATCCCGTTTACAATTGTTCATCTTTCACACCTCGTAACCGTGAAAATCCCCGGTTCGTCGAGCAGAGATCCAAAAGCCGATGCACTTGCATCGCCAATGTACTTTAATGAAAGCATAGCTCGAGTTTGGTACGTCTCCATCGTATGGTTGACTAAATGGACCGGGGAGTTTATACGCAGTGTTCATCCGAGTCATTTGAAGATAAAAATCAAACTTGAACGAGGAATGTTTGGACTAGCCTTTGCGGTTTTTTCCCGGCACCAGGTACTGTTGATGATCTTGGATGTGAGTCTCACTCGTTGGGAGACTGTGGGGAATTGTCGATCTCCCCATCTAAACTGGTTGAGCCATTCACACAAGGTGATGACCGTCGGCCGTATAGTTCGGGGGTAGGAGTTTGAAGTCCTGTTCGACTATTCGTGATCCTGGCTGAAAAAATTACGCACTTCTGACGAGTACCAAACAGCATGAAACAATTGTCCAGTTGGTCATCACAAATATTCCCATCGCATTAAAAAAAACAAAATTGTTTCATATGGGTACTCATGAGTAGTCTGATTGCAATGAGAAAATTCTGAGAAAATAACTTCAACAGAATAGTATACGCAGACGACTGTTTTGTCCACAAATCAAATGCAAGGCAGTTTAATAGTTTACTGGCACATACAATGATGATGAAGACATGAATGGCAAGATTACCAAATAGCTTCAAAGAGGCACAATTCCGCTGTTTTCTAATCGTGCGTGTGCGTGAGTGGAGACTGAAAGACGATCAGAATTTGATAAATTAGGTGGACCAAATGATCCTGTTTTTAAGCGTGTGAACAGGATTTCGGAGATGGGTTGGAACTACCATGACCGTTCACAGAATTTCTAACCGGACTTAGTTATCACGGTGGAAACCATGTATTTTGGTCCATGTATGAAAATCAGGAAAACCAAATTGCATGCTGATTTGCATCCTGACCTACTCATTTTGACGTGACCTGAGAGACAGAGACAGAAGTGAAACCAAGCGATGCGGAACACTTCACATCCAAAACCAATGAGCGAAGTTCCTGACTGATAGTCGAGGCAGAAAGATGGTGAAAAAGTGTACGGCGAAATCTGCTGTCCATGTAAGGTGTTTCAATATTTATGTAGAAATACTGGAATCATCGGGGTTGTACTCCACACACTGCATCGTCGAATTCGAGGGATTTGATTTCGGTGTATCAAATAATGCACAACTCTGATCCCCTACCATGTCGTTCACTCTTCACCTTGCCACCCAAAACTCATCTCAGGCGACACTCATTCAAATGAATGCTCCAAAAATGTTGACCAGAATGCCGGCATCATTTATTTACCTTCAAAATGTGCAGTACTTGGAATTATATACCATCTCAAGTTGTTTCTGCTTCAACAGATGATTCTTTCGAGAACAAACTTGTTGAAATATCGTCGAGTATTGAGTTTCGACTTCCATAGCAGTGCCCGAAACAAAGAAAATTTATGACATTTCTTATCTTTCTGTGGACCATGAATCGATCCATTTATTTGAAAAGCCCTATAAGATAAAAGAAACAATCGCTTGTAAGTACATCCCATAATAAAACTTTGTCTTTGATTTTCACTTTGTACCGAACTATGGTGTTCCCCAGGAGGTATGATTATCATATTTTAACTATTCGATTATTGTCCCAATAGCCAATCATACGATTTCGAATGGATTAACTAAGAAATTAAAAAGAATATTTGTGCCGACTCTCAAAACCGATTTGTCAGTTCAGCTTACTGCGCACGAAATTCGACAGATAATCAAACAAACTGATAACCATTTATACGGCCTGTTAGAGAGTTTAAGAGACGCCTGATAGTAAGTACCAAGATTTCGGAACAGATAACAAGTAGCGAAAGTATGTTGTGTTTTGAGGGGAGTGGGGGAGTCGATCTCACCTGCCTCCGACAGACGGATGCACCGGGTGGTCCTGGTCAAGTGCTGTGGTGGATGACGCAATATCGTCACACAAACAGTGCACCTGAGCGAGGAAATCACACAGCGACTGGATTCCGATCGTGTTCGTGCAGTTGAGAACAATCGCGACCGGACCGGTAGGAAGAGTCAGTTGTTGTCTTAGCCAGAGCAGAGTATCGTCCAGATTGGCTTCCAGTGGACGATGAATGACTCGTGTGACAAGCCTTTGCAGAACGAAGATAATTGTTCGAAACGACTTCATAACTTATCCACCGAGAAATGATGCAACTAAATGCAAATATATGATTTCAACCAGTCTGTTATACTCATGATTCTTAGAGATAGCAAATGTTATGCGAAACTATTTGCAATTCAGATATCATCACCTGCAAAATTCCGATTGCATCACAGATGATACAGCTTTTAAATAAATAATGTTTGTGTTATTGAAACCTTGATGTTTACATCAAGTCAAACAAAATCGTAAACAGCTTTATTCAAACAACGACTGTGTAATTTGCAGGAACACACTCATTGAGTAACTAAACAAAGTTTTAATGTAACTGATAATAATAATAATACCAAGTTTTCAGATCACAGAATATGCCCAATGATTAATAACACATAATGATTGGATGAACTGGAAACAGCGCGCGCGGATGACATTTGCAGGAAGATCAGTGGAAATAAATGAGCTCAAGTTAGATTAACAACACCGGATTATCTGGTAAGTAACTTACCCGGTGAATTGAAGATGACAAGTGAGAGCACGGACTACGGCGAGCAGTTCATAATCCACCACAGCGTAAAACACAGAACATCGATACCGGGTTAAACAACTTATCCATTGTTCCATACGTCCCGGTGGTAACAGATATTCTAATGCCCATTCACCCAGACTATTTGGAACATGTCCAGAGTCGGGGTCGACCAGTTGGGCAAGAACCACGGTACGCGATTGCGGAGCCATCTGTGCCTCCTGAACCAGACACGCCAGCTCACCCTCGACCGAGGCGAGCTGTGTTATTCCGTCTAGCTCGATAGAATTCCGGGCAATTGGACGGTCGCTCCGCGTTCCATTTACTCGCAACGTTAGAAGGCGACTGTTGCGTAGACCCAGTCGATCCGTCGGATCAAGGTGCCGCACGTATTCGGTCCACATACAACTCAATCGATAATCCAATCCCTCCCAGGTTGGATATTCCTTGAGATTAATCAAACCAATATGATACCCGTCTGTGGGACATTGAGTTACACTGCCCAGCTGGATACTGACCACAGACCACAGTACACTGGTTGGTGCTCTGTTTGATTCCACAACTGGACAGTCCAATCCACTCAGTAAATCTGGATGTGCGAACGAAAATGAAACGACAGGCATAGTCACACAT